AACAAACTAGTGGTGGCTTGAAGAATGATAACATAAACAAGGGGGGAGAGAAAGTTTTCTCCAAGTTGAAGTTAATCAATATACTCGTCTCCAATCAACTATGTTACAAGAAAAATTTAACAGGTGACTATGATATCAATCAAGAAAAAAATGGTTGAACAACTGAGTAGTTTTTAAGTGATCATTTCAAACATTTTCGACGTGATCGTATGCGGTGTTCTATTAGCAATTGAATCNGTTTTAAAGTGATCGTAGGCGGTGTTCTATTAGCAATTGAATCACTCTTAACTAATTGTAAAAAGTAGTGGCTTTTTCCTTGTCCGTGGAAGACTCAAAGCATTGAAAGAAGAACACAACGGGAGGGAGTGGCCCAGAAGAAGCATTCCTTCTTCTCGTTGCTGAGCGCGGAGGTTAGAGAACTCTCTTGGTTTTCTTCTAGATGCCTTAGTTGGGTTAGTTGGTGTCTATGGTTAGAGTGGGACCTCTTGAGGTGTGATGGCATTCATAGCAATAGGTATAGTGTTGGGGAAGTTTGCATATTCAAGATTCAAGGTTATCCCTTCCACCAGCACCCTACTGGTCAGAGGGTTTCGAAGGTCCACCTCAACCGAAAGGAAGTAAAAGCCCAAGAAATCAGGGTTCCCCTCACGAAATGGATTTGAAGTTCTTGCTTCGGGTTAGAGATGGAACACGGTCAGTGTAATGGATATGGTGATATTTGCCATCCTTTTGTGATTTTTGAGGAACCAACTCCAATTCTGAAGGTAAGGTAGGAATGATCAAAGAGAAGTTCGATGAAGAATTAGTCTGATTAGTTGATAAATTCAATTTGTCATGTTAAATAATACCTATGGGTCCTGGAGATGCACATGTACCTTGTATAATACTTGATTAAAATATAACTATTTTGAGCAGCACAATTTATTTGTCAATTTATTGTTGGCTTTTTAATTATAAGTTTCCCTCTAGAAAACCGTTTTGAAGAAAAATATTTGGAAGCACACTATGATTCGAGGGTTAACTTTTAGAGTTCAACCCAAGTCAGAAAATCTTATAACCCGACCCTAAGCTAACCCCTCATTTCTCCAAATTGTTTTACTCGACAAAAACTTTATATGTGTGTGTGTATATATACACACACACCCGAGGAGGTCGAGGTCAATTTGGCCACGACTCCCATAATCTCCTCAGTCATGTCTCCTCGCCCCAACATCTCTTCCTCGTGTTTATGGCCAAAACCTTGTACCATGAAATCCCTAATTTGTTAGGACTCTTCTCCGTGTCAAAGCTTATTCTCTATAAATACATCATTCAAATTCATTATCAAGGTACGTTTAAAATAATTTTCAGCACATATCTTTTCGTAAATTTTCTCTCTGACTTAAGCATCAAATGGGCGACGAGGACACGCCTCAACACATTTGTTTCAACTATTGGAAGATCTCGTTCGTTCTCATTCTCAGTCGTCAAACTCGAAAATCAACAGGTGTGATTTTTGGTAGCATCATTGGTGCTGTCTGTGGGAACAACTACCAAAAGTCATAGTCAACACACGTTCAAGTCTTCCTCTAGTAAGCTCATCCGTACAGATCCACCACTTGTTGCGGAGCTCCCAGCTCATCAAGAAGAATCATCGGCAGTACCAACTCCTCAACCATGAGTAGTTATCGCGGGTGCTTTCGAACAACTTCGTCAACACGTTGCAACGCTAACTCAATTACTAAGCCAGAGGAATGCTCATCCGGTGCAGGTACATCCGTCAGCACCAACAGTAGGACAACCAGAAGTGTTCATGACTGATGCTCAAGCTCAAAATGATCACGAAGCCCATGACAATGGTGGATCCGAGACCTCGGGCATACCCTTAGTGGCCTCGGCTTTGAGGTTGGTTACCATGGACTCAAACGAACTAGCCAGGCTCATACATGATGGAATCACAGCTGAGCTGCAACAGAACACCCAAGGGATAACATGATTTACCCCCAACACTCCATTCACACTAGATGTACTTTCCTATCTGCTCCTAAACAGGTTCAAGATCTCCTGCATGAAGGAGTATGATGGGTCGACTGACAACCATCTCAAGATATATACAGACATCATGAATCTAAAGATGGCACCTGATCTTGTGATGTGTAAAGATTTTCCCACAAACATTGACTAATGCTGCCGAGATTGGTTTTCTATCATAGAGCCCAATTTCACTGCTTCATTCTCCAACTTGATAGATAAGTTTTTCGCCTTCTTTGCCAGTACCAAACGCATCAAGAAGATAGCAGCATCCTTCATGCACTTGAGGTAAGGATCGAATGAATCCTTGCATAACTTCATGACAATGCTCAATAAGAAAAGACTTCAGATACCTGACATTCACATAACAGAAGCAATCTCCTCCCTTACGTATGCCATAAGATGCAAGGCCTTCAAGATGACTCTGTCAAAAAACCTGTCTAAGTCCATGACCGAGCTACTTACCCTAGTAGAAAAATATATTAATATGGAGAAAACACTAAACCAGAGGAGGAATCCTCATCCGACCTCGGAGAAACCCGAACACAAAAGACAACACGAGTTTAACCCTCGTCCAAAAGCTCACGGGAACAAGTAGAGGCAGGAAACACAGCTGACGTCACTAACTCGGTTGAACACTTCTAGATCTAACATTCTGATGGTGATCAAGGATATGAAGGAGCTTAAATAGCCTTCAAAGTTGCAATCCCCTCCTAATACTTAAGACATGAGAAAGTATTGTTATTATCATCGAGATCATGGACACACAATGGAGAACTGCAATGCCCTCTGGTGAGAGATTGAGGTTCTGATAAAAAGCGGATTTTCAAGTTCATAATTTAGGCATGACAAGTGCTCGAGGAACGATCGATACAAGGGAAAAAGTCCTAAAGGAAATGACAAGCCTACGTCAAGAACCATTAACATTATTGTCGGGAGTATAGCATCAAGAGGAGACTCAAATAGTGGGCGTAAGTAGTATGCCAGTTAATACACCCTGAGCTTAAAGACGATGTCTGATAAAATGGAAGAATCACATTCGGGTCACGAGATTTTGTGGGCTACACGATGATGCCTTGGTCATATCATTAATCATAGCCAATTTTGAAGTGAAAAGGATTTTGGTTGACAATGGAAGCGCGGACAACATACTCTTTGCATGGGCATACTCTAGGATGGAGATTTCGATCAAACAACTCAAAGCTATTAAAACTCGTTTCAAGGATTTGGAGTCGGCACGATCATTCCAGTGGGAGTCGTCAATCTTCCCCTTACATTGGGATCAAATCAAAAGCAAGTGACTGAAATCACATCATTCCAGGTACTCCGTGCTTTAATGGCTTACAATGCCATTATGGGAAGGCCATTACTCAATAAGATCAGATCTATTGTTTCTACTTTCCATCTTACTATGAAGTTCCCTATGAGTAATGGTGTGGGATTAGTACGTGGATACCAGTCAGCTGCTAGACAGTGCTATATTACCAGTGTTCGGGAAATAAGCTCCAACGTCATGCAAATCTCCTCATCCGAACCTGAGCCCGACCTTAGAGGAAGACTTGCTCCAGTGGAAGAATTAGTAGAGGTCGAGCCTGAGCACGGTAAAAATATGACGATTGGTCGAGATCTTGATGCCACCCTCATGGCCGTGCTCATAAGTTGCATATCCTACAATATTGATGTGTTTGCATGGAATATAGAGGATATGCCTGAGATAGACCCAAACGTAGTCCACAAACTCAATATTAATTCGGGAGCAAAGACGTTCAAGCAAAGAAAGAGACAGAACGTCTTGAGGTCATACTGGAGGAGATTGATACATTAATTAATGCTCAGTTTATTTGATAATTTGATAAATTATATTTAATTTTATAAATTATATAAATCATACATAAATAAATGAACAACAAAATTCAATTTACAATATTACNAAGGATAGATGTATGGTGATCCTCCGGCAAAACGTGCTAGAGACTCCGCATATAGCTATCACAAAATGAGAAGCAATATCTCAGAAAGGAATAGAAGAAATCTACATGCTCCATTGCTTTATCAAGAATCCAAAAAGGGACAAAATGGGGGAACCGAATACTTAACCTTTTCTTTTTTCATTCTTCCTTTTTTTTTTTTT